CTTTGTCCCTGAGGGACTATTCCTTTCATTTTGTGTTGAATCACTCTGAATGTCCATTTCACATTTCAAACTGTTGCTACCAAATATTATCGTCCTGTATTATATTTGAAGAAATTAAATAATGAAAAATCTGCATAAATGTATGTATATTTCTCGCATTGTGATAAAACAATGGTACCTAGAGCCATCCAATTTTGAGAGATGTAATCCTACTGCGAATATGGGCATCTGAAAGCCCAAATTTGGAATTTGTTTTATTATTGATTTCATATTTTGTAAAACTTTAACGAATTTTTGATTAACAAACTCAAGGATTTCAAGGCGAGCAATGGCAACGTTGTACAGAAAAACATTTTTAATCTCCAGCGCATGAGAAGGAAATTCTAAAGATATGCTCAATTAAAAAATATTTTGCGATATTGCTCTTAAAATGAATTTTATGGTTTAGTGCGAAGAACGTGATATTTAATAAATAAATGTACGGTCATGCGAAGAACATGATATTTAATAAATGTTAAAAAAAAAAAAAAAAAAAAAAAAAAAAAAAAAAAAACCCTCTTCAGATGTAATTTAAAATCTGAAACCTTTGCGATTTTTTTTTTTTTTTTTTTTTTTTTTCAAATTCCTAAAAATTTCATATGATTTTTATTAGTTGGACTTGATATTTCGTTCCCCTACCACCAAAAAAGACTCTATTTCCGTCTTCTAAAATTGTTTTCTTTTTCTTTTAATTATTCATTATTAATATTATTATTTTCGAAAATGTCATGATCGAATTCTCGTATGGGCATCAAGCGCAGCTGCAGCGAAGAACGTGCTCTAGAAGTTCTTTGGCTGCAGAGCATCTGGCGCTCATTAGCACAAAGCAAAATCGAAACAATTCTTTGCATTTCTGGCTTCGCTAAACGCTGTGAATTAAAATGCTTGTTGGAGTTTATTTTCAAAGATTAGCGATACTTTGTGTTTATTATGTCTCCAAAAAGGTAAAGTACCCATGCAGTTTTCGAAAAACATGTACAAATATTTAATCAAGAAATGGAATTCGTTTGCAATGTGTACTGTGCGTCATTGATTCGTTTGATATGGTATGGTGGAAGGCTGGACCGGATTAAGATTTTTAGAGGCCCCAAGAACTTAAAAGACTTTGGTACTCCTCAATGTACATTTACCGCCTGTGCATCTTCTCCCATTCCTTCTCTTTCGGCCTTGGTTTAGCTACACCATTTCGTGGTAGAAACGGCAATGAAAATTTTTTGTGGTTTCACTTTTATTTCATGCCCTAAACCTATATTTGTTTTGCTTTTAATGGATAATCCAGCTCTGGTGGAAGGCTTGCTAAATTAACAAACACAAAAGGGTAACGTAAATTGTATTCGAAAAAGAAAATAATTGTAATTTTTATGCAGAAAACCAAAAAGTTATTAATGCAGAATGCGTATTTCCTGCCTTTTTACTTGAGCACATTCTGCTGCTAAATGCCTCCGGTAACGCAATGGTTTTATTTAGAAAAATATTATTACGAAATGTCCAGGCGCGGTGAGATAGCAGTTTTAGAGTTGCCATAAATTAGCAAGAAGGGCAGGTTGCCAAATTTGGCGAGAAATCGCCCATTTGGCGACAAAATTGGTGATATGCCATGGACAGATGGAGAACCTTCTGGAGCGAATTCTTACCGGTTTAGCCCAGAATGTTCTCGAACACAAGCCGAAAGCTATATAAACCCTGCTGGTCCGCAGTCAGTTAGTGTGTGTCTCTCATCGAGAGTGTCTCAGAGTTTACCTCGTCGAGAATGGGAGAAGATGCACAGGCGGAGTGTGTATGTCTCGTCTAGCGAGTCAATCCCTGCGGAGTCGATCGAATTGACACCCGGGCATCGTCGAGAGAGCGTAATGAGCTCCGGGAACGACTGAACCGAAGAGTCGGGAGCTGTGCTCATATGTCGTCGAGTGCATCGCGAGTTGTAGCGTGGAGAGTCTCGAGAGTATGTGGACTTCCGAGAACGACCAAGCAGAGTCGGGAGCTTTACTCTGGAAAGCAGAGTAGGTTGCTTTTCAGGAAGCTGTTTCCATCGTTATTGCCTGACAGTGTGAAGGCTGTGTCGCTGATTGTTCCAGCGTGTTTATAGTAGATCTTCAACGACTGTAAAAGCGTTTTGGAGCTGTCCTGTTTAATATAGGCTAATAAAGTGTGTTTCGATACTTCATCAAATAGTGTCGTCATTATTCACTCCAAAATCCATACGAACCCCGTACGAACGTGAAGAAAAATAGAAAAAAACATAATAATATTTCTCGATAGCGAATTCGCTGCGAACTACTCATGTGCGAGGATAAAAACGATTGCAGCTGTTGATGAAATGGGTGCGAAAAAAACATATCAGATAGTTGTTAAAAGTGCAAAAGTTGTTACTAAATCTTCTGTGCTAACTTTGCGGTGTGTTTGATACGATTTCCGAGAAAATACATATCGGTAATTTCATTTATATTCCAACTACTGTAAAGTTTAGCGATTACCTTCATAACACAAGGTGATTCATATTGAATGGGGCAAAAAGGGTAACATAGTACCAATTCTGTAGTTGATTTATTATGCCGAAACAAATTAATTCTGAAACTAAATTTGTACAAGTTTTACCTGGCAACAGCGAAAAATCTTCCGATTACGAAATCGACGGCGCCATCCATGCAGGACAAAGCATATTCGTGTTTTGGAATATGCCAAAATATTATCGTTTATCGCCGTTCAAAGATATTTTCGCACGAAATTTTGTAAAGAACCAAAACATCGAACGATGGATGAAGCAGAGTCAGGACACGGTCTGCTTATGTAAGAAAACCAGCTCAGGACGAACAGCAGTCGAAAAGTAAGTGGTTGAAAAAATTCGTGAAATGTTTTTACGAAGTCCTACGCGTAGTACGAATTCTAAACTCAGTGTGCCTCATGTAACTGCATGGCGTGTGTTACGGAAACGTCTGCTATTCCGACGTAAATCTTTCTGTAAATATGCAATGCAAGGAGGCAGATGGTTTCGCGAATAGACTTGTGTTTAAGGATGAAGCCACTTTTCTCGTTTCTGGAAAAGTTAATTTCTGTAATTTAAGATTTTTGGCACGGAAAATCTACATGGTGTAGTGGAACTTGAGCGTGATTCTCCAGAGGGGAATGTTTTCTACTCCATTTCCAACTTTAATGTTTTTATCCTTTTTTCATTGTGAAAAAAATCGATTAACGGGTGCACTTACCAAGATATGCTATCAGAGAGGTTGTTTCCTCCGTTCAAAGAAACAGTTCCCAGATTCATTCTGCAGCAAGAGCGTGTTTCACCACATTGCATAAAAACGTATGCCAGTACCTGAACGACTGCCTATCCCATCGCTGGATTGGCCGTACTAGGTAAAACCATATGCCATTTTGTTTTTGCCACCGACATCCCCAGATCTTATCTTTACGATTTTTTTTTTTTTTTTAAGACAAAGTGTCCGTGCCTCTATTTCTCCAGAACTTACAGCAACCGAAATGGTCGAATCATTACCAAAGGATATTCTGCCACGAGTGTGGCAGAAATTGGAATGTCTCATAAATCCTTGTCACCGAAGGGGCACACACAGAACGTCTACAGGAACTTGGAAAACTATAGTTTCATTTTAAATCTGATTTATTGAAATAAAGTAATTACAGCATTCACAGGTATGCTTTCTTTTTGTCCCATTTACTATGAAAAACCCTGTAAATTACATTTTAAAAATTTAGTTTTGGGGCAGCTTTTACTTTCAGATACCGATATAATAATGTCTATAATCGAATTGTGGAATACCTCTTAAGCATTCATAAAGTTCAACAATTCCTTTAGCTACTAGTTATTTAGCTGAAGGTTGTGTTCTAGCTTGTTTTTATTTATTTATTTTTTTTTTTCCCCAGCGAGCATCGATATTTCTAAAACGCATGGCGGTTCTTGCAGATGTATAAGCAGGGCCAGCTTCGAATCTAGGGCCCTAGCTAAGATATTGTCGCAGGCGGCTATACAATAAAAGCCTATTTTGCGTTGAATTATCAATATAAGTTTTAAGGGGCGCCAAATATACTGATCGCCTAATGGATTGTTCGCAGAAGGGCCCTGCGATTTTAAGCGGCATTAGCCGAACCTTCATTTCTAAGCAACCAGACTTTTACTATGTCACGGAAATTGGTATAAGTTTGGTTGTTGTCTAACTATTGTAACTGTTGAACTGTATCCCAACTTGACCAATCAAGAACCGTCCAATCACTGCGTAGGAAATAGAACTGATGTTGAGTCAAGTCTAGTCAGTAGCACATTCATGCATATGCAACTTTATCTTTTGTAGTTGGCTACGGCTTGAATCCTGTTGCACGTATGAGTGGCGTTAATCAAGGTCCGTAGAAAGAAATGGAACGAACCTTGGATGTTAAGGCTGCATTCAGACGGCGGCGTAAAGGGCATAGAGGCATAGTCATAAGGGCATAAAATACGGGAGTGCCGTTCACACCTGCGAAAACGGTGTGTAAGCCGTGGCCAATGAGAGAAACTAAATTTGCGCATGCGTGGATGTGTCTACAACTTCCCCGCGCTGTTCTCCTGCTCGATTGATTTCCCGCGAGAACTCTGCTTGTTTTGTAACAGCGAAATCTTCTGCAAAACGCCGCTTCGTTTTAGCTTCGCTCTGATTGGTCGACGCTTATCCCAAACTCGGCGTAAAGTTGAAAACTTTGAACCCTATGCCACGAGCCCTAAACCAGATTTTGTGACGTAACACAGACTGGTTGCCTTGTCAACGGAGCTCGGCTTTAACCACTTATGCCCTTTACGCCCCCGTCCGAACGCAGCTTAATGGCTTTACGCCGAGAACTATGACAATATGGACGACTAGACTATAGTGTGAACACTCCTTTAGGCACTTAAAATGCCAGAACTGGCCCTGTGTATGGGTATATGTTAGTTTGAGATAACCTCTTAAATTCACCGTGATGTTTTTATGTTTCTCACGTGGAAGAAGACTGTAAAAATATTTCTTTATTGAATACTTCATAGTTCGAAATGAATGGTGTTTTTGGAGGATTCTCTATTAATCAGATTCCGAGAGCACAATCACATCTGTTTCATCTTGTGGTTCTGCGGCTGAGTCTCCATTTGTTTGAGAGCTGGAATTGCTATAATTGCTACCACCTGTTACTTCATTTATTGCGTCTTCGAGGTCGGCCAGTGCCAAAAGGTGAAATGGCAGTCCAATAACGACTGCAGCTCCCATCAAACCTACCATTAAATGTTGTTTGGCTATCTGAAATGGGAAAAAGAAATAGTTAATTAATTTGTACAATTCCGACACCAATCTATAAGATTTAGAGATCTCAACAATTTGCATTCTACAAATGAAAAATGGCTTGTAAAAATTTACGTGGAGTTAGAGGGGAATGTTATTCATTTGATTAGATTTACGGCAAGCACACTAACTCTACCTTACTATAACAGAGATACCTTCATGACAGTGGCGTGTGGTAGATTTTCATGCAGGGTGTGTAGAGAACAACGACAATAATAAAACCATAAAAATGTACATTAAACACTTCTTTAAATTTTTATTATTCATTTGTACACAAAATCCATACGTCTATCCGTATTACTAACAAAATCATCAATTACATGATCATAAAACTATGGTTTTGACTGTAATAAGTGTAACATTTCTTTTTCTATTGTTATTAGAAATAAATTGCTTAATCTATCCTGGCTCATTGTATTGCGTGTAGAATTTTTTACTCTTTTCAATGCTGAAAATGATCTCTCCACCGAAGCAGTTGAAAATGGAATTGTACAAATTAAATGTGCCAATTTACTTCGCCTAGGGCATCTGTCAAATCATTCAGCATTATATGCTGAATCAGCATATAATGCTGAATGATTTGACAGTTTCGATAATTCATTTCGTGGTTTAAATTATAAGTTTCGATAAATTCATTTCGTGGTATGACTCACTACGATAAAGAACGCATAATTCATCGGTTAGCTTTACAAAATCGAAATGTTTTTCATAAGCGTTCTTTAACGAATTAAGGCATTCATCCGGAAATTTACTTTGATATTTCTTAAAAAAAGTGAAATTCAATAATTCAAAAAATTTGAGCGAATTTAATTTTTTAAAACGGACATCTAACTGACAATAGTGTCCATTATTTCTTAATATAAATTTTTAAAACGTTGGTCTTGATCTACACTTGAGTTTTGTAAATTTACACGACGTACGCTTTTTTTTTTTTTTTTTTTTTTTTCTAAATTTAGGGGACCCCACTACAGAAACAGTCTCTTCATAAACTTCATCGAATGCAACAGAAGTTCGCATATTTTGAATTGCATCTTTTACTTCCTCTACTTTTTGACTAGAATATGCTAAGTTAGTTTTTTGTAAAATATCAAATAGAACATCAGTATAACTAAACACTTTGACAAGAATATTTAGGAGAAAATTACCGTTAAATTCTTCAAAAAACATGTGATAACTCTTTGCAATATTTGTTGCGCCTGCGCGCGCATTTCATTACTAGCGTCGGCGCATGCGTCTTGAGCTCTTGGAGTTTGTGACATGAGATTGTGAGCTAAGAGCGTGTGAGAGAATTCGTGGCTTCGAGTGGCCATGAACTATGTAAATTAATGAGAATTAAAGTGAGATATAATACAGTCCATTGTTCCTGAGTTTATTGAATTATAGTGTAGTGCCTGAGCAAAACATCGTGGTCCGTCATGGGCCAGAGATCTATGGATTATGAGTTATATACAAGTAACAAGTAAGTCAGCAGTTTCGATTTAAGAATAAAGTGCCATTTTGTTATTTTAAGATACTGTGTAAGACTTTTGAGAAAAATTATAGTATTTATATACTGTGTTACTGTGTTTAAGTAATTGAGAAGAATTACTTATTATCTTGTGTTATTTCACTAAGAGTATAATGTTGATAAAAGGTGCACTTAAAGAGGATTTAAAGCTATTGGCTTTAGAACTGAATATAGAGTTAAGTGAAAAGATAACTGTTACAGATTTAAATTTAGCGATTAAAAGTAGTGAAGCTTTTAAATCCGATCCAAATTCGGTAATAGAGTTGGGTAATTCCATAGTAGAGCATCGTAAATCTGAAGAAGCTAAAGTATTACAGTTAGAACAAATTAAATTAGAGAGATCTAAAACAGAACTGGAAATTGCTCGATTGCGAGCTGAAACCAAAAGTGTTAATAACGATCAAATGAAAATAAAGGAGAAAGTTCCGATTCCTTAGATTCTCTTATTAAAAGTATAAGAACACTAACATTGAAGGTTCCGAGTAAACCTGAAAACTGGAGTTATTTTTTCTCGTCTTTAGAAAGAGCTTTCGCGACAAAAAATGTGCCTGAGAAATCTAAAGCGGAAATATTGTTAAACTTGTTAGGGGAACGGGCTTCGAACATTATCGTGTATATTAGAGATGAAGAGCTAAGTGACTATGAAAAAGTAAAAACTATTATTCTAAAAGAATTCGAACCTACACCACAAATTGTTTTAAAAATTTTAAAAAGGCTCAACGCCTAAATGAGTCCCATGTGCAGTTCGTGTCGCGATTAACCACAAATTTCGAATATTACTTAAAATTGAGGAAAGTGTCTGATTTTGAAACTCTGAAGCAGTTAATAATATCAGACAAATTGTTTGAAACATTAGATCGAGAAACGTCAGCCCATATTTCTATAAGGCAAGCTGAAAGTTGGTTTCCGCCTCAGCAAATGGCTAAGGAAGCAGATTTATTTTTCACATCTCGCGGAAGGTCCCTTGCCGCAAGTGTGGACAGTTTTCAAAAATCTCGCAACAATTACAAAACGTCGAAAAATGTTTCAAAGGTATTCCTTGCCAATGCAAAAGGTTTAAAGTGTGTTCTTTGTGAGAAAAATCATTTTTTGGCAAAATGCCCAAATTTCTTGAAACAACCGGTGAATGATCGGGTTGAAATCATCAAAAGTCATAAATTATGCTTTAATTGCCTAGCATTAAACCATTCCGTCAAAAACTGCAAATCAAAGTTTTCGTGTTCCGTTTGTGGGAAAAGACACCACATGACATTGCATTTTCCAGTAGAAAATAAATCATCGAAAGAGAAGGAAAAAATAAAAACGAAACAGCGAGTAGTTCCAGTGTGCTTCCCCCCTAGCTCCAGACTTTCTGCCTAACAGCGGTAATACTCTACTTACAGCGACTAGTGTAAACAGATCCAAAAAAAGTGTTCTTTTGAGCACGGCTATTTGCTTTATTAGTGATGGTATGGGTAAGCTACATCCAGTCAAAACATTACTTGATGGCGGCAGTACTTCATCGTTTATAAGCAGAGACTGTGCGAATAAATTCAACTTTGATTATGAGAAGGTAAACATTGCGATTTCCGGATTAAATGATTCCTTGTTTACAATTCGAAAAAGAGTTTCGGCATGCATTAGCAATAAAGATAAAAGTTACGTGAGACATTTAGACTTATTAGTAGTACCAAAAATCACGCAAGATTTGATTCCTTCGAGGAAAATTGATATTAAAATGCAGGATTTTTGTAACATAAAATTAGCTGATGAGAATTTTAATGTTCCAGAACGTATAGAGATGCTTTTAGGAGCTGAGGTTTTCTTTGAGATATTAAAATCTGAACAAATTCGCTATGAAAACACGGGTCTTATTTTACAAAACAGCGTGTTCGGGTTTATAGTGTCGGGAAGCGTTACATCAGAAGAACAGAGCCGCGTACATTGTGGGTTAATGAAAACATCTAATGACTTAGAACAAACAATGAGAAAATTTTGGGAAATAGAGAATGTTGAAATAGCCATTCCAAAAAATAAAGAAACAGCAATATGTGAAGAACATTATGTGCAAACTCATAAGCGGAATGAAGAAGGGAGATATATTGTAACAATGCCACTAAAGGAAGATCCTATTTGCTTAGGAAATTCAAAGGATGTTGCCCTTGAGAGATTAAATTCCCTATGGAAAAGATTAGTTAAAGACCCTAAATGTTTGAGTCTGTATCAGGATTTTTTAAAGGAGTATGAAGAGCTAGGGCATATGACTGAGGTTAAAGAGAAAAATGAGCCTAAGGTAGTGTACTATATGCCACATCATGGGATATACCGACCTCAAAAAAACAACTAAATTGAGAACAGTGTTTAATGCATCATGTTTAACATCAAATGGAATTTCGCTAAATTCTTTACAACGTAATGGAGGGGTTATTCAAGATGATCTCTTTTCAATCATGCTTAGATTTAGAAAGTACCCATTCGCATTTACGGCGGATATTAGAAGAATGTATAGAATGATTAAAATTAACCCTGAACAGAGATGCTTGCAGCGAATCCTGTGGAAAAAGGAAAATGATGCACCTGTGAAAATCTACGAGCTTAATACTGTGACTTACGGTACAGTTAGTGCGCCATACTTAGCTATGAGAACTCTTAAACAATTGTCGATTGATGAAGGTCCAAAATTTCCATTAGCTGCGCCAGTCTTACTTAAAAACTTTTATATGGATGATGTGCTTAGTGGAGCGGAATCTTTGAGTACAGCTAAGGAACTTAAATCTCAGTTAATTGCAATATTGAAGAGTGCAGGAATGACACTGCACAAGTGGTGCAGTAATCATGCTTAACTTGCGGAAGAAGATCACTCCTATTCCTTTCCTAATGAAGCAGAATCTACAACACTTGGAGTGTCTTGGAGGTCTAGAAGAGACTGTTTCTGTTTTAGAGTGAAACTCGATAATGACATAGTTGTTACCAAACGACAAATATTGTCCACAATTGCAAGATTGTTTGACCCGATTGGTTTACTAGGGCCAATCATAAGTAAAGCCAAAATATTCCTCCAACGGTTGTGGTTGTTAAAGCTGAATTGGGATGAATCACTACCAAAAAAGGAAGCTGATGAGTGGAAGAAGTTCTCTACTGAACTGGAAGTTTTAAGTAAAATAGAAATTGAAAGGTTTATTCTTATTGCAGAAGTAGACTATGTGGAACTTCATGGATTTGCAGATGCCTCTGAGGTAGCATACGGAGCAACCATATATTGCAAGTGCCGTTCGAGAGATGGAGAAGTGAAGACAAGGCTAGTGACGAGTAAATCCAGAGTCTCGCCTATTAAACGAGTTACTATTCCGAGACTGGAGCTTTGTGCGGCAGTCCTACTTGCAAGGTTGATGGTTAGAGTAATATCTGCATTAGAGATTTCTGTGAACAAACGTTTATCTGTATCTGTGGAGTGACTCCATGATCGTGCTTT